AGACAGTGAAAAGAAAACATTTCCCTACTTTATAAAAACAAAAAATAAGGTGGGAATGTGGCTTAAAGGTACAGTGCTTGCCTAACATGCATGAAGCCCTGGGTTCAATTCCTCAGTACTGCATAAACAGAAAAAGCCAGAAGTGGTGCTGTAGTTCAAGTGGTAGATCACTAGCTTTGAGCACAGAGAGGCTCAGGACAGCACACAGGCCCTGAGCTCAAGCCCCAGAACTGACAAATTAAAAAAAAAAAAAAAAATCAGTCCCATAACAATGGAACTGTATAAAAGAGATACAAGAATCAGCAGAAAGAATCTGAATATCTGAAACTGTAAGCCTTGGAGTAAGAAAATGAAGTAGCATTGGATTACAATCCCAACATAAAATAAGTATCCATGATTCCATAATGACATAAATAAACAACTAAATAAATTAGTAAATATGGGGAGAAGAGGTGAATTCCCAGGAGGTAAAATTTCAGACAAGGCCCTCAAGATTATAGAGCTTAAGTCTGAGCTCTAACAATGTGGGCTGGGCATTCTTCCTTCTATAGCAGAGTTGAGGAGGAAAAGAGAGGAGGACATCAGTTCAGGTGACTAAGGTCAACACTCACAGTCCCAAGATCCATTGATGTTCTAAGGTGATGAAAATGGCACTTTACCTCCAAATTCAGTCTCAGTTTAACCAGGAGAAACATACCACATTCCAGTAGGGTCTTCTACTATACACCAGACTAGTAGCCCAAAAACTGCTAGCATGATAAAACAAAAACAAAATGTCCCAGCCTAAGAGGTACCTAAGGAAGCATAACAATTAAATCTACTTCGTATTCTAGGGAATCTTTTAGGCAGAAGGAAGACATTAGGCAAAAACTATCCAAAGAGGCTGGGAAGTTGGCTCAGTGGTAGAGTGCTTGCCTCACATGCATGAGGCCCTGGGTTCAATTCCTCAGCACCACATAAGCAGGAAAAAGCCTGAAGTGGCACTGTGGCTCAAGTGGTAGAGTGCTAGTCTTGAGCCGAAGCGCTGAGGGACAGCACCCGGCACAGAGTTCAGCGCCCACAACTGACAAAAAAACAAAAACAAAACAACAACAAGAAACCACAGACTTAAAATTATAAAATTGATGATTATAAATTAATTATTATAAACTTAATTAAATTTATCAAGAGTAGTTCCTTAATTTATCTACTATACTAAGATATTAATAGGAGGAACTATGGGGATGTATGGAAACTACTACTTTTCTCAATTTTTCCATAAATTTAAAACTTTTCTTGAAAGCATGAAGTCAGCTATATAAATAAAACAGTCCTATTTTATTTTCTTTCCTCCTAGTTACTTGCCAACGTAAACAACACTTCTTAATTAAGAAGAAAGAGTGTAGGAGAGAAGAGAAGGCAAAGGCTGTATTTAAGAGCAGGTCAGGAAGAAATCAATTCAAGGACAAAAAATGGTTTCAAATCCAGGAAAAGTTTTTTAAATTTGTGGTCATTCCAAGATTTATTTGCCACAGGTTTGGTATTTTATTGTAGGCATCTATTTACTGAATTTCCCAAAACTCTCATTGTCACAACTCAGCTTAGCCATTGACACATATAATCAGAGATCCCCAAGAAAGAAAAGCATTGTGCTAAGAGCAATATTTATCTTTTTTTTTTTTTTGGTCAGTCCTGGAGCGCTGTCCCTCAGTTCTTCAGCTCAAGGTTAGCACTCTACCACTTGAACCATAGAGCCACTTCCAGTTTTCTAGCGGTCTATTGGAGATAAGCATTTCACAGCTTTTCCTGCCCAGGCTGGCTTTGAATTGTGATCCTCAGATCTCAGCCCCCTGAGTAGCTAGGATTACAAGTATGAGACACCAGCGCCCAGCTAATATTTATCTTTTTTAAAACTGAAAATAAGATATGTATGTAAAGAAGAGTTGGTAGGTCCAGCACCCATTAAACGTAATATTTCAACATGACATTAGTAATTCTATATTCTCACTATTATAAAGACATCAAATTATTAAGGCCTAAAACTAAACTAAAAAGAAAACCTTTGTTACTACTCTGCAGGGCAATTCTAAAATTATATCTAAAATAATTGTGAAAAGCCGAAGTGATAATTCTTTAGAAACTACTAGAAGATCACGCTCAGGAAGAATCTAGGACTGTTCCTTACAGGGAAAGATAAACTGTTTTGATGTGTATGCTGATAATTCATTTTCAAACATTTTTCCAAAATAATTTCACTTTCTGGCAGTAATACTGAAATGTTGTTCTAACCAAGACTCCTGCATAGCAAATGGTTTTAATTAAAAAGTGTAAGGGGATGGGGTTAAAGAGGGCTCTTCATTATAAACTTCATCTGCATTTTCTAAGAAAATAGCCAAGGTTTTCACTTCACAGAGACAGATTTGCATTCTCCAATTATCTCCAACTTGAAGGTAACTGAGTAAACAAAAGAGGGAGGGAAAAGTTTACTGAAACAGCTGTAAACACAAACTAAAGTAATTAAATCAGTATTTAGATGCCTAAAACTTAGTTACCCTTCACCCGCTGCAGACAATCAACAGCTTCCCAGCAGGATAGGGACCCAGGCCATTGCAATAATTTACATAAGAAATTAACAACCAAAATTTACATCAGAATGGTAACCCCTACAGGTGTTAAGTATCTGCTTATCTAAATTGCCACTAAAAAAAGCTTTACCTTTCTTTAAGCCTTAGGTAAACAGAGGATTTCCCAGGAAGGAAAGGTGGTTTGCCTCAAGAAGTTCGGTCAATCATTGCCCTACTTCAATGCCACTTTTTGAAAGAAAAACTTTAGAGCTGTTCTCCCTTTTGCTGCTACCAAGACATTCTTAGAACATGGAACTAACCAAATTGAAAGAACTACGCTAACTATAAACTTCCAGTTTATAAGCTACTTTTTATTTCAAATATCATCCTCTGGATGATTTAAAAGGGAAAACTGAGTAAGACAGTAATAATAAAAATGCCAAGTAGTTGACATAGGAATCTAAGCAAAGGACTTAACTAGTGTTTTTAGACTGTCTTGAAATTTCAATCTCTTACTTGGGTGGACAGTTCTTTGTTCAGCATATTTTCTTTATCATTAAAATAATTACTATCTTCTCAAATATTTCACATGTTCTCATGTTTTAAAGTTTGAGAACTGCTTGCTATTTTTAGGTCACAGATTTTATATTTTGGTGGGCACTAAACACCTTTCCATACCTAGTTGTAAATAACAACAGCACAGGATACCTAACAAGCAAACTAAAAGCATGCTTAGGGCACAGAGAAGTAGTGAAAACTCCTCCGTTTTGATTATTTCAAAATTATCCTGTTTTTTATTCCAACTCTATTTAATTCGTGCAATCTAATAAGCTTTTCAGTGAGAATCCAACAATATTTTAAAGCACTGTTTTCAACTTGTACTTATTAGTTACATACAGGTAGGCGTTGACTACTCAATTAAATAGAAAGCATACCAATGGCCATAAAGCAAGTAGGCGAAAAATAATATGAGCACCTCCCCCACATTTCCAGGCTTAAAGGCTATTATTATACCAATAATTTAGTGTAGGCAAAAAATGAAGCAATCTTAAGTTGGAAGCAAAATGGAGGCCAGCCTTATTGAAAGAGCAGCAATGGTATCTACTGAAAAAAACAAGGCACAGAACTATTTAGGTTTTGCAGATTTTGTCTTCATATTCCTCAGGGGGAAAAAGAAGTCAATAGGATATGAAACTCTACAGCAATGTAAATTCTTTCTTTTTATATGTAAATATCTAGTTTATTCCAAATTACTTGTACTTTAGGCTTTGGAAGGAGAGTGTCCTGAAATTTTTTTTTTTTTAATTTTTTTTTGGGGTCCGGTCGTGGGGCCTGAACTCTGGGCCTGGGCACTGTCCCTCAGCTCTTCAGCTCAAGGCTAGCACTCTACCACTTGAGCCACAGCACCACTTCCGGCTTTTTTCTTTTTTCTTATGTGGTGCTGAGGAATCGAACCCAGGGCCTCAGGCATGCAAGGCAAGCGCTCTACTACTGAGCCACCTTCCCAGCCCTGTCCTGAGATTTTTGTTCCTTCCTCCTCCCTATTTCTCTACAAGATTTACATGCATTGACATCACCCCTGAACTATGCCAATCTAGGTAACTTAAGTGCACTCAGGCTACTCTGGATAAAGTAAAACCTATGTAGTAATTATGCTGACGGTTTTTCATAGACTCCTTTGTTGAATGGCAACTCTTTTGTACAACTACTTAAAACCTATGTAGTAATTATGCTGACGGTTTTTCATAGACTCCTTTGTTGAATGGTAACTCTTTTGTACAACTACTTAAGGACAAACATTTTTTTAAAAAACTGAGTGGCAGGGAGAACACAGGATTTGCTGTGAATCAAAACCATAAAATGCTAAAAATGTTAGAAAACAACATTGTCTTATTACAAGTATGGCTAAAATCTTGGAAGTCAAGGTTGAGAAAAATGAGACTTTCAAACTATTTACCTTTTTGTCCTGTATAGATAAAAATTTACATTTATAATCTCTATTATTGTTTAGGGAGAGAGATGGAAAAAAGAACAAGAGAGAACACTTAAGTTCTTAAGTAACATTTTATTTTTACTGCAGTGCTAGGAATGAAATCCAGAACTTCAAGCATGCTAAGCAAATATCTTCCACTGAGCCATAGCCCTAAGCCCAAGAGTAGCATTCTTGCAGAAAGTACATGGAGTACTGAAAAAAATCTCCTACCAGTATCTAGACATCTCTTTGCCCAGACCCTCTGAATAAAGGATTCATCCCTTGAGTTGTGAACCTCAGTCTCTATAGTATGAATGACAATACTTATCTCTCTTGTAGACCATGATGTGAAGAACATAATCATACATTCCTTTCCATAAGCACTAACTTCCAGCCTCCAGCACCACATAGAATGCTTACTTAGTACAGGCCAGACACAGTATGGGAGGGAAAATAGCAAAGAAGAAAACAAAGGTGAAACCCACCATCTGTAGTGCAAGATCCTTCTGGGGCAGGTTTTTGTGAATAGGGAATTGGAGGGCTGTTTGAATCAGACATTTCTTCATCATCTTCATCGTCTTCCATGTCATTAACTGTTAGATTGTTCGAAAAATCCAGACTGCCATTTTGAGTGTAGCGGTGTACCAAATCTTTATCCAGATCCTCTACTTTGGGTTTGACATCTGGGTAAGCAAAGAAATGATAAAGAATTTAATTTAAAAATTTTACTTTTGGTTGGCGCTGTGGCTCAAGTGGTACAGCGCTAGCCTTGAGCTGAAGAGCTGAGGACAGCAACAAGGCCCAGAGTTCAGGCCCCACGACCGGACCCAACAAATAAAAATAAAAATTATACTTTTGGAAAAATAATCAGAAAAAACCCAGCACAGTGCTGAATAATGTATTTGCAGAAAGGAGATTAGTAACCTAACTTATTTCAGAGCTCCTGAAACTCAGAATTACCACTTTTTTTTTAAGAGTCTAGAAATATGTGTGGTTGAGAATCTTACCTGCAGATGGGAAAGGATGCTGGTCAGGGTCCAAATAGAGCTGGGAAAAAATTGGCCGTGGCACCACACTACTACATCGGAGAGAGGCTTCTATGGAGTTGTGGAGTGCTTCTTCAAATCGAGCAGATTTCAGTTGCCCAGCATATGAATTCCCCATGGTCTACACAGACAAGAGGAACGGTGGAAGAATACAGTCATAATTATCCACGGACATATGTGAAAATGGAACTAGGTAATTTGAGGGGCTGGTAGGAGATAAATAGGAAGAAAGAATGAAGGAAGGGGTGATACTGATTGAAATGCTTTGTCCTCATAAACTTACATGCTGAATTGAAACCCCTTGGTACATCTATATAAGAACAATTTGAAGAACAAATTTTTAAAAACTGGAAAGCTTTAAAAAAATAAAAAAGGAATAAAGCTAGGCACTGGTGGCTCACGCCTATAATTCTAGCTACTCAGGAGGCTGAGCTCTGAGGATCACAGTTCAAAGCCAGCCTGAGTAGAAAAGTCTGTGAGACTCTTATCTCCAATAAACAATTAGAAAAAAAACGAAAGTGGCACTGTGGCTCAAGTGGTAGAGAGCTCGCCTTGAGCTGAAGAGTGCTGGGATGGTGCCCAGGCCCAGAGTTTGAGCCCCACGACCGACCAAAAAAAAAAAAAAGGAGAAAATTGACAAAAATTATTGGTTAAATGTTTTCAAAGTACGTGTATAGTACACGTGAACTACATCTACCTATCTAGCTATATATTTTTTTTCTGGTCCTGGGGCTTGAACTCAGGCCTGGGCACTATCTCTGAGCCTCTTTGTGCTCAATGCTAGAGGTCTACTACTTGAACCACAATACCACTTCTGACTTTTTCTGTCTAGTTTATTACAGGTAAGATTCTTATGAACTTTCAAAGCCTAGGCTGGCTTTGAACCATGGCCCTCAGATCTCAGCCTCCTGAGTAGCTAGGATTATAGGCATGAGCCACTGGTGCTTGGCTTCTGGCTATAATTTAAGGTATGTATTTATAAAATGCATTCTTAAAAAAGCTTATATTTTTTGTTTCCTCTGTGTGTGTGTGTGTGTGTGTGTGCTAATACTAGGGCTTGAACTTAGTGCCTCAAGTTCTCATTTTGGTTTCATACCCATGTCTGGCCTCTACCACTTGAATTACACCTCCTGCACAACATACCATACTTTTTTTTTTTTTAAGTGTACTGGAGTTTGAAATCAGGGTTACACCTTGCTAGATAGGTCATACCTCAAGCCTTGTGTTATTATATCACTTGGTTTTCAAAATGTCTCTTTAAATATTCTTGATTCAAAAGAATTCAAAAGTAAAAAAAAAAAAAAAAAAAAGTTCTGGTCAAGGTTCTCCAAACAGCAAAGCAACACTGACCCTTCAGTGTTTTTAGACAGTGACCTATACTTTTCATTACTAATATTTGTGTAGTACAAAATTTTCATGTATACTAATAGCAACAATTTTAATTTACTATGTGCAACAATTCTCAAGTGATCCAGGGTCCCCACGACCTTTTCAGGGGCCCCTGAAGTCACAACCATTTTTAAACTATTATTAGAATTTTTTTCTTGTTGTTGTTGGTCGTGGGGCTTGAACTCTGGGCCTGAATGCTGTCCGTCAGATCTTCAACTCAAGGCTAGTGCTCCACCACTTGAGCCACAGCGCCACTTCTGGTTTTCTGAGTGGTTTATTGGAGATAAGAGTCTCACGGACTTTGCTGCCTGGGATGGCTTTGAACCCCTATCCTCAGATCTCAGCCTCCTGAGTAGCTAGAGAATATTATTTATTTTTTTTCCCCACTCTTACTCTTTCTTATATATAAAGTGGAATTTTCCAGAACCTCTGTGATATGTGATACTACAAGATTACAGAATGCAGAAGCAGATGTGTATTCTACTAACTCTTTTTTTAAGTAACTGTTTCCATAAAATACATTATTTATGTTAATATATAGTGAATTGTTTATTATTAAATTTTTTGCTGTCGGTCCTGGGGCTTGAATTAAGGGCCTAAACATTTTCTCTAGATGTTTTTTTTTTTTTGGGTCCGGTTGTGGGGCCTGAACTCTGGGCCTGGGCGCTGTCCTTCAGCTCTTCAGCTCAAGGCTAGTGCTCTACCACTTGAGCTAGCACCACTTCCGGCTTTTTTTCTTATGTGGTGCTGAGGAATCGAACCCAGGGCCTCAAGGCATGCAAGGCAAGCGCTCTACCACTGAGCCAACTTCCCAGCCCCTCTAGATATTTTTGCTCAAGGCTAGTGCTCTACCACTTGAGACACAGCTCCACTTCTGGCTCTTTTTCTTTGTGATGGTCAGTTGGGGATAAGAGTCTCAAGCTGAGCGGGGCGATGGTGGCTCACGCCTGTAATCCTAGCTACTCAGGAGGCTGAGATCTGAGGATCGCGGTTCAAAGCCAGCCCAGGCAGGAGAGACCGTGAGACTCTTATCTCCAATAAACCATCAGAAAACCGGAAGTGGTGCTGTAGCTCAAGTGGTAGAGCGCTCGCCTTGAGCTGAAGAGCTGAGGGACAGCGCTCAGGCCCAGAGTTCAAGCCCCACGACCGACCAAAAAAAAAAAAAAAAAGAGTCTCAAGCGGGGCTGGCTTTGAATCATTATCCTCAGATCTCAGTCTCCTGAGTAGGTAGGATTACAGGCGTGAGCTGCAGGCACCTATTATTAATAATTATTTACAAAGTCAACTAGTTTAAATTTCTAGCACACATATCTATATAAAAATTCAATGGCTTTTTTTTTTAAATGCCACTCCTGGGGCTTGAACTCAGGTCATGGGCACTGTTCCTGAGCTCCTTTTGCTCAAGGCTAACACTCTACCACCTGAGCCACAGTGCCACTTCTGGCTTTTTCTGTTTATGTGGTACTGAGGAATCAAACTCAGGGATTCATGCATGTTAGGCAAGCACTCTACCATTAATCCACATTCCCAGCCCATGAGCTAGTTTTATAAACCATTCAATAGTAAACAGTATACTAAGTAGTTTATAAAAATTAGCCTAGGTCAACATCAGGAGTCTGAATTAGATCTGATCTCTTTCACATCACAGATTAGAAATCACAACAAAAGACCTGAAGCATGGAGATGCTAAATGACTTGCTTACTATCAGTCAGATGGTAAAGAATGAACCTAGAACTCAGAACCTACTTATACAATGACAAGTCCTGTACTCTACTATAGGTTCAATCCTAAAATATTTCATTTTTAAGACCATGGTGGTGATGATGATGATGATGATGTATTGGGTCTTGAATTCAGGACCTTGTACTCTCACTTGGCTTTTTCCATACAAAAGCTAACACTGTGTCACTTGAGCCACACAAAGAATCACATCATCTCAGACTCTTCTCATAATTTAATGAATAACAGGAGAAATACACACACACACACACATAAAGCAAATAAAGATCGCTGTGAATAAAACATTAAAATAAACATGAAAATTAAATCAACATAAAAATGAGCAATATAGTTTAAGAATCATAGGAGATTCATTAGATGAAGACAAAGGGAACGATTCACTCCCTATTTAGGCTTGGAAGAGTAAAAGGAAGTTGTCCATTTCAAATAAAAATATATCTGGGCATAAAATATGATCATGTAAAGGAGTATAGATAGATGTGATGCCAGACTTCTTTACTGCTAACTATGACGGTCTACCTTGGACAGCTCATATTTACCCCAAAGTGCATGGAGTTCAAAGGAAGTTTAATATACTATGTTCTAAATTTCATATACCATACTATTAGAGTCACTGCCACAGTTGGCATTGGCTACCTAGACTGACAATCTTTCTTTCCTTTGAATGAGAACATGCTGCCTGAGACAGCATAACACCTGTTATAACGTTAGAAGATGGAGAAATACTTTCCAGAATTAGTCATTAAATCAAATGTAACAAGATAACAGATTTGTGAGTTCTATTATAAACTACCTTATTATATGTACCTAGCTGACTGGGTTTGAGACAGAATTATAGCATTTTCCATGCTTACTTCAAAGGACAAATTGCATAAAATGCTTTGTTATGATATTACACAGACCTCTGAGATACTAATAAACTCTTTTGTGATATTAAGGAAAGCCTAAGAAAGATGGTAAACAGTATGGACTCTTTCTGCACTGTGATACTGTGATTGGGTGTCTTTCTGCTTTTGTCTTTGCCCTTTTGCTACAAAAGAAACTAAAAAAGAGGGAAGGTAGTTTCCATTTCTGGTGAGTTGAGAAAGGGCAAATGAAAAAGTGAAGAAGAGCAACTTGGGAAATAGGTGCTAGCTAATACTGATACAGCCTGTCATTTTTCTTTTCTCTTGCAAATGGAAAGGAGAAGCAACATACTATCAAGAAGTAGGTCATGTCAAGAAAATACCAAAGTCCACATGAAGAATTCTCTAGGACAAAGATGAGATAAATTGGACATAAAAGAGAATACATACATGTAACTGACTAACATGTATTTAAAATATAAAACTCACAAATTACTTTTGCTTTTCAAAGGGAAAATGAAAGCGTCTCTTAGAAAAATGAAAAACAAAACAAAGAGCTTAATTCATTGAATATGATTAGAAAAAAAGGGAAAGAATAACATTTACCCTATTCTTCCTGTCCTATACTCCAATGTAACCAAATAGTTTTGGTTGACAGAGAGTGATCTTTTTAAAGGAGAATTCCAGTTAATAAATGTGCAAAAATGACCACTTTGTGACTGCTAATGAAATATTCATAAGAACAATGATAACCATTAGGTAAAAGACGGATGGGGAACTACATAATGGAAATATCAGACTCTCTTCTTGAACACACTAATCAAGAGATATGGTGACACTTTGAGCTCCAAGGGAAACAACATGAAGCACATACTCCCCCAAGAAGCATTCCTGCCAAAAGGTGCAGCGTATCTAGCTAATTCTGTAGAGAAACATCAATTTAAAGTGCTGAGAGAGTGGGGCTGGGAAGGTGGCTCAGTGGTAGAGCGCTTGCCTTGCATGCATGAGGCCCTGGGTTCGATTCCCCAGCACCACATAAGCAAAATGAAAAAAAGTTTTAAAGTGCTGAGAGCTGGGCACTGATGGCTCATGCCTGTGATCCTAGCTACTCAGGGGGTTGAGATCTGAGGATCATGATTCGAAACC